CCCTTCCCCTTCCCCCTCCCCATATTCTTAGGCTATAATTAGGTTATAGCTTTCATATGAAAGCTATAAATTAGTTTCATAATAGGGCTGTGTACATTGGATACTTTTTCTTCCAATTTTAAGATACTTTGCTAAGAAAACATTTTCCAGCTCCATCCATGTAGACATGAAGGAGGTAAAGTCTCCATCTTTCTTTATGGCTTCATAATATTTTTCTGAAATTTTTTTCAATCAGTGCAGAAAGATGAACTCTTGTGTCTTGCATATCACCAAATAGAAAATATCTAACAATTTTTTCATGGTTGCCAGACAATTTTTAACCAATAATGAATCTATCTTTTAGTTTCCATTTTTCTCTTATCTGAGTTCATCGTAGAAACCTTAAATAATTTTGAGCATATAAATCATAACAAAATAAGTTTTAACACATAGATAGAATCTGCCCATTGGAAGTTATTTGTTACTTTGGCAAATATTTTAATTGATTATAAATTAAATTCACCAAATGCAGTCCATCATTACAGATTCCAATTAGCATAGAGTCAGTTGACTATAGCTCTTCGTAAATTCATCTATTATTTTACAAATATTGTAACTCGGTTGTTATTCACTGAATGAAATTTTTAGGAGATCATTGTTTTGAACTGAGCACTAGGCCCCAAGAGACCAAACCAATATGGAGGCCTTGGTACTAAGTGCCATGAATCAAACTTTCAGGAAGCAGAGAAACCCTCAAATAGATCATCCTTTTCTGAAAGCAGGGAATTCACAGCAGCCAACCAGTAGGGGACCTGTCAACTAGAACCAGCAGTAAGGAATCCCTTCTGCTTAACCCTTACAGGACGTGTGGCCTGTGATGATCTGATGTTATCAAGTCTGCTTTTGTTTTGCTTGTCCCTGCTCTGACCTGGCACTTTATAAAAAATGACTGTTCCGCCATGCCCATTGGAGTGCTGACCTATTCTTCAGATGAGATACTGCCCAGTTTGTGAGGAGCTAATAAAGCCAATTATGTCTTTACACTAAATTTATTGGGATATTTTTAACACGTTCCGATAAAGACACATCGTATCATAAGAGAAAAATAAATTGCATTTAAAGTTAAAAAATAATTAAAATTTAAAAATAATCAGCAATCGTCTGATTTCTTTTCTGAATGTATTTATATTCATTCGTTCTTTAGGAGGTTTTTGTTTCTAGTCCTTATCTTAGACATTGTAATTGTTATTAAATTTTAAGCCTTTTTAATTTTGTGAAGGCAAAAAATGGAAACCTAATAAACACACGTATATGTGGAAAATAATAATGAGATATTATTGACTTGGGTGACAATGAAGTAGGATAATGCGACTCAGCTAGAGTATGTAATAAACATACACAGTGTTTCTAAAAGCACAGGAGGACCTCCAGAGGTGACCACCTCTCTGCATTGACCACCTTCTTACGTTGGCCTAATTTTCAAAGACTGGACATCACCCACTTTTGCTTTTGAGTACAGTGCACCTAGGTTCTTACGTTAACCGCCTTTGTATGTTGACTGGTTTGGTACAGTCCCTGGGCAGGTTGGTATACAGAGATTCTCCTGTATCTTGAAACTTTAGAAACCGTCCACATGGTTTTAGTCAGAGTGTCACCTGCACTCATGGAAGTTTTATGCTGCAGTTAGATTTTCATCATAATGTTCATTTGTTCTATGCAAACTTTGTAAGATGCCAGTGAATAGAGTGCAATAGAAAGAAATACGAGTGTAAAAATTACTGAAGTTCTCCGGAAAAGAAAAATAACACAATAATCAGAAGTGGTAAAGATGTTAAGACATGTGGAAGACTTGTAGCTAAAGGCATTTTGTACATTTTTGATACACTAAATGAGGAAAGCATCAGAAACAGGCAAAATTATGCTCGTGTGTGCGCACATCCAGGTAGGTAATTTATGGCATCATCCGTATTTCTTCTTATGAAAACCATTCCTCTCTCCCTTCGCCCTTAGCAGCCGGTGTATTTATTGTGGTCTCCTCTCCTTTCTATATTTTTACTTCTCTGATTTGCTTTGATGTCACTAGGGTAATGTAAAAGATGACTCCCAAACAACCAGCACTGAAAAATTATGAACCTTGGAAGAACATTAAGATAGTTATTACACAGAAAGAAAAATAACCGGGAAGAAGGCACTAAAATAGAACCAAGAGAAATGTAAAGTGGACGCAGGTCAGAGACAGACTCGGAAGGGCGTTTATCACCATCGGTAGTCAGGACCCCTGAGAGAACTCGGGACAGAGATAAAGGACGTGGCCCGTGAGGACAATGCTGCCTTTAGGAAACACAATCTCCTGATAAAGAGGTTTGCTTTTTTTTTTGTACTTCTGAGATTAAATCCCTATTATAACACCAGAACCTGAAAACAAGCTCAGAAATGGTATAAAAATGTAACGGGGTGTCATAAAATAAAAAATAAGTTTGTAAAAATTTGACATTGTGGCTTTATAGGAATATGATTAATCCCTTTGCTACATATTTACATATTTGAATATGTATTCAATGGCATCTACTTTTAAATGTGCTAAAAAAAAGATTTTTAAGGAAATAAACATACCTTTTTTTCTTTTTTAGCACTGTCAAATGGTCACAAGTTTTCAGCGTTAGCCATATGTTTACAATTGGGCAAACACGTTAAGTATAATATTCCACTGAACTGACTTTTGAAAGGAGGGGTAATTTTGAGAAAATAGATAAGATCACAATTTATGCAAAGCTGTTAAACATTTACAACTGTGCTTACAAAAGAGATTAAAATAATACTTGTTGATAAAGCTGTAAGTCTTGATCTAGCTATTAAAACTAACCATACTACTTTGAAATGGCCAATTATCCAATTCTCCATACTTGCCAAGGGTCATTTCTAGAATTTTTTTATAAGTCTAACAGGCTCTATAAATTCTCAGTGATACGTAAAACTTACATGCTTTGTGAAATTTCTGTTTAACATCATGAATAGTAGATGTTTGTGTCACCTGAAAAAGAAAAGAGAATAGAATTATAAGGAAAAAGTATAAATTTCTTTTCTACAATCTGTTTAATAAAAAAAAAGTTGACATATTTAAGTCATAAAATTCCTACAAAAGAGTCATTTTTATTTTGTTTAGCTTTGGGGTTTTTTATTTCATTTTTAGTTATTCTGTTTATATACATTTGGGGGGAACATGGGATGTTCTATACTAACAAGTATTATTTTCATAAACTTGAAATATTACAGTCACGAACAGTATAACTTTTTAAAAATTTATGTTTGCATATAGAAGTATCGGTGCCATTATGTGGATCCGATCATAATTTTAATCCAGAATTTTTTTTCCCCTTGCCCTGGTCTATTACTGATGCTCTTAATTATATTTTTTGTTTCATTCATTGTATTCTTCAGTTATAGGAGTTTGTTCTTTGTTAAATTTCTCTCTCAGATGGTGAGTTGTTTTTTCTGATTTCTTTTATTATTTACCTGCCTTCTGTTGCATCTCACTGAGCTTCTTTAATTCATTAGTGTGAATTCCTTTTTCAGACAGCCCATGGATTTCCTTTTGGGTCAGTTTTTCCCCAGGCGCTGGAGAGTGTGCTCACATTCCAGCAGTGGTAGCAGTGAGTGGGGTCAACTTATCCTTGGGCCCCTTGATAGCAGACAATGTTGGTGGTGGGTGGTGGGCAGGGTGGGCACTGGAGGTAAGAGGGACAGAACGGGCAGGATGGGTCAGTCCTCTCCCTTCAGATGGTGTGTACATAACCAGGTGGCTTGGTGGCCATGTGGTCCTGACCTCAGGCTCCTCTGGTGGCGTGTGGGGATCAGCTGTGGCAGGTGGGATGAATCAATCCCCGGGCACATTTGGGCAGTGGCGGCAAAAGCAATGGAGGTCTGGGATGGTGTGCAGGTGGACTGGCAGTCCAGTTTTCGACCTCCGTAGGAGCATAAAAGTTCAGGGTGGCCTTGCTGCTGAGGGCACCAGGGTTGCAGTCAGCAGCAGGGGTCCCAGGCAGGCTTTCAGGCTCAGGAGAGTGTGCACCCCCTGCTCAGCTGCCTTTGTTCTGGGCCAGCGTCCCTGCTGCCCTACACTGCTTGTTCCAGGATGCAGGACACTCAGGAGACAGGCTCACTCTGTCCATCCAGCCTGCTCATAGGACCTCAGCTTTCTGGGGAGTTGGGGGTCACACAGCTGTTAACTAACATTGTTTTTAATATTATTATTCTTTTTTTGGCCAGGGCTGAGTTTGAACCCGCCACCTCTGGTATCTGGGGCCAGTGCCCTACTCACTGAGCCACGGGCACCACCCAATTAATATTATTTTTTAAAACCTTATAAACTAGGTATCTATGTTAAATTTCATTTAAATGCTTGAACTGTAACCTGGATCATAAAACTAAATTATGAAGTTATGGGAGTTGTTTTCTCTTTCTTTCTTTCTTTTTTTTTAATGACAAAGACCAAAGGACAGATTGTCTACACATTCCCAGGAACACTGCTTCAAAAATAAAAGCAAGTAAGGAAATTTAAGCCTCCACTATTTTATCATTACAAAAAAGTATCCAATTTTTCTTTCCATTTTGAAGTGAAGGGTATTTAATTTTAGCAATCGAGAGCTCAGGATTGGTTGCTATTTCTGCTGTTTACATCCTTCTGACCATGTCAAGAGTTAAAAGAACTCTGCTTAAAAATAACTCTTGAGATAAAGCTAGTTAGCTTATCAACAATTTTAGAGTGACAGATTTTTGAAATGTTGCCATCTGCAAAACAAGAGTATCACATCTTCTGTATTAATGGCTCAGGATTCTATGTTAGAGTCCCATTGGACTCCAGTTCACGTTATAACGGGTTTTATTGAATGAAGTTTATGAGTAGCAGAGAATGAATTTGTATTTAATGTCACATAGACTCATTGACAAATAAAGGGCTCTATTAGACAGCCAGTGATTCATTGTGTTTTGCTAAAAGCAATTATTAATTAAATTAGATTCTGATTTTCAAATTCTGATAATCAGTAATTGCAAAATCAGAAACACCCAAATGCAAAGTAATATTAAATGATTACTTGAAAAACAGTAAAAATGTTTAATGGAAGTCTTAAAAGGCAACAACCCAAATAGACAGGTAATAACTAATTATAAGAAGGCAAATGTACAGCATGCCTTAAAAGTAAGATCAATTCCCAAATATATTATCTGTTACATCAATGCAGTAGGCAGTTCAAAATAAATGTGTCTAAAGTTTGAGTTATAGACATAATACACAAGTTCGAGTCCAGCATAGATTACTAAGATACATACATCTCCTTCAAGAAGGGCTCAACTACAACTTGAACTTTAGGAATGAAAACAATGTCCCCTAAATGTTCGCACCCTCACATTCATCTGAAATTTAAATATATACATAAAATATATTTAAAAATAAAAAAAAATGTGAAAGAAAGAAAGCAAAGATCATATCTCACAAAAACATTATTATCAAATCCTGTCTATGTATAATTAAATACAAGAATTTTATTTTTAGAACAACATAAACCTTAACAATACATGTGAAAAACAAAATAAAGTTTCATTTTATTAACTGTACAAATATCAGTCTTTGCCATACTAAATTAAAGCCATATCTGTCTAATGTAAAAATAAGTGAACATGTTTGTAATATGGCCTATGCGTCTGTACATCTAAAGTGCACAGATAAGTTTATGTTTTAATTTTCTAACATAAGGAGTGTATATTTTATATTTCCTTAGTAAAATAGCCATGTGTATGGATATTGATGGGGAGTTTATTAAACATGAATTTATTTTCAGGACCTTGAAACCTGCACTTTTGAAGCATATAAACTGTCACCAAAAAAAAGTGAGATGGTAATTCTTAGGACAAATGATTAAACAAGTTCAAAATAGTTTTTTAGATGACTAGATTGTATCTTGTATTATGTAAATATTGCTATTAGCACCTTCTGTGGCTTTGGCTACAAACTCTATTAAACTCTCCGAGAATTTGGATACTCAGTGAAGTGCATGCCAGTGAAATTCCGGGGACATTTTTCACGCAGGCTAAGAAGTGCAGCTTGAAGATTTTACTTCTACACAAAAATTAATGAAAACCAGGAAAATCAGAACTTAATCATTACCTACCATTTAATTAATTTAAAGTGACTATGAAACTGCAGGGAATGTCTTCTGGTGGAAGAGTGTCTAAGTCTCTGTCCTGTTCACCATAAGGTTAAAAGTGAGAAGAGCCTTCTTGTTCAGTCCTGGCAGCATTTAATAAAGTGATCGATAATCTTCGAGGCAGATTAGCAACATTTTAATAAGTAGATCCATGTGACTCACCTTATCCACAATGCAGATCTGTTTTCTGGTGTGTGCATCAAGTACTTCAATCTCAACGTGGGCAGCTTTGGCGTGTTTGACGGCCGCAGTTGGAGGCAGAGGGCAGGCGGAGAGGACAAGTCGGGACAAGGAGTGAAAATTTCTCATCTCATTCTTCAATAGGGGCTGCGTGGCTCCCTGGAGAAATAATTCTCTCTTGCGTTCTGAAGCCAGGGGCTTCTGCCTTCTGAACATTGTCTGAATTCCCAGGAGAATCTGTCATGTCAACAGTGGCCACTGACAAGTGGGTCCCCTTTGCACCAGTTAAATACTGTTCGCAGACCCCCTGAAAGGTCAGATGGCATGCCATTCTCAGAGCTCAGTTTTATTTAGCAGGCGCGAAAACAATGTCTGATCTGACTTCTATATATAACACACTATTGTGAAGTGCTGCGATGTGGAGGATAACTTTACCAGCATTTGAATTATTTCTTGCTTTCTTCTATCTCTGCTTCTTAATATGACCACTGTTATCTCAAATTCCAAAGCGAGAATAGACGGAGTGTTTCTGTTATCTCCGAATTCTTGGATGCACCCGTCTCCACACACACATGCTTGCTGTGACGTGCACATTCGCATTTAGACGTATTTAACTCTAGCATACTGGTATTTTTATACTTAAATTAATTTTTTAAAAATCTAGCATGTTATCGTATATTATTTTTTAATTCCAGATCGATATAAAGTAAAAATGATGAGGTTACAGTGCACGAGGTAAGGGTTACATCCCACCCCACCTCCATGAAGAGTCGACTACAACTTGAACTTTATAAATTCAAACAATGTAAAACACTTTTAAAGCTACTTTACGTGAAGATACCTGTGCGAGCAAGTGAGCATTCTAAGATGTGGAATTTATTTACCTCCGGGTTAGTTATAAATCTCAAGAAACTTAAGACAACTATTCCACACTACAGAATGAAGAACAGTCACCCATATAGGGACAGCAGGCTATCAGATAAAGGTATGCAGACAGCGGTTTCGTAACTTAGGGAAGAAGAACTCAACCTTGTCTTAAAATTTAGACACAGTCATTGTACTACTCATCTTTCACCAATTCACATTATATTAATAATTATATTATAGTAGTACTTTGTTCAAGTGTTAAAAAATACACTTTTCTTCTCTAAAATTACCCTGTCTTGTGTCAGTATTTTACATCTTCCTCGTTGATGCTTCCCGGGTTAAAAATAAACTCAATGATCTTCTCATGCCGTTACTCTCATGAAGAGTAAGACTGAATAGAATATTGACACAAAAAATATTGAATAGGTATGGAACAGAAAATAAATATACGACCTGTTATAACAGAAATCATGGTGACAGAAAAAATGCTTCCCCCAACACTAAAAATGATTGCCTGTATTTTGTAGAGTGACGTTATACTTTTAGAGTAAAAACTAATAACAATGTCTGCTTCCGAAGACTGAGGTTCAGTTTTCACTGTAAAATTGCATATTCTGTTTATACTGTTTTTATGACACATAATTTCATTGTATTATATGATGTAACTTTAGATCAGGAGAACAGATTCATCACTCAGAATCACACATCCGTAATACGCTGCTTTTCATTTCGACTTCAAGAAGTCTGGCTAATTTTCCAGATACTCTTCCCGTTACTAGAACAGTTAATTTCTATTGCTTATTGTAAATTCTGTGTCTGAAGACATTTCAGAAGAGACTCTTCAAAGTCATTAGATGTTATTCTGTGGGTTCATACGTGACAAAAACTAAACTTGCCCCCAACCGTGTTGCTTGATCATTGTAATGTGGTTATGAATTCTATTTTACTGAATGCATTTTTGAGAAACTGGAATAATACGTTTTTCTCATTTTCTATTTAATAATCACATATACTTTAACTGGAGACTCAGTGTCAGGAGGAAAAAAAAAAATTGACATTCATCAGAAGTTCCTTGCTGCTGTTATCAGTCATTCTGTTACGCTGCCTCGGGCAGACAACGCTGGACTTCCGTGTACCATGGTCAAGAAAATGTCCCAGCAACTGGGTTATTTCAATTATGTCACCATTTTAGCAAACGCCTAAGTCAGGTGTTATGAGATAATGCTTGCCTTTAATATACAAGTCTAGTTAATCAAGAGGTACACTCTTGATTCAAATTATGCTAATGGATTTCAAAATATATTATATCAAGCATATAGGTCTGTTTGCATGTCGCTGAGATATACTATATGCTAGAAAACAAGAGCAAATAAACTGTTCTATTTTTTGGAAAACTTTGGATTTCATGTACTTTCCAATAATCTTAGTTGCTTCAGAAAATAATTATGTGCAATTGGTTTTAATTTCCATTAATCAGGAATTGGTACAGCAGCACAAGGCAGTTGATGACATTGAACTTGACCTCAGGTCTTCTGAGGACAATTCAATGACAACATGACAAAAAGCATTAGGTTATCAAGAAAGGATTGTCCAATTTCCTTAAGTGATGAGTTTGGTGTTTGATATCTGTATTATTTCACATTGATAGGTCGTGTTTCTTTTATTGTGAAGCATCCTCATTCTTTGAACACATGTTCAGCTTGTGATTATCTTTCAAATTCTTTTCTGTAGAGCAATTTGTGTGAATCCATGGGTGAGTCAAAAATTTGTGCTATTGTTGAACGTGGGTTTCGTTATGGAACCCATGACGTCCAGACATTGGTCTAGTTATGAATATCAATAAATAAATGATATCTGGGAGGGAGATGGCTGATAAACACACAGCACATTGATGGTTTGAGAAATGCAATTCTGATGATTATAATTTTGAAAATGAGCCACGGGAGTGACCTGAGCCCAGGTGGATAATGATGAGATGAAAGCTGTAGGGAAAGTGAGATTGCAGCAAGTTTCGTTGTTACTATTCCAACAATATTAGACTATTTGAACAAATTGGCAAAGTAAAGAAGCTGGATAGATGAGTTCCACATGAATTAAATGAATTTCAGAAGACAAAAAGTCTTGAAGCTTG